ATGCTCTGCTCACAGATGACTCGATGAGCATAAAAACTGTTAAGATGATGACCTTACGTGTAACCACTTTGATTTAACTAGGCAAGTAGGTAAGGGCTTTCCACTGGATAATAACTGCAGCGTATATGTTTTAGCTGAACTACTACGTTTTTAACCCTTAACTGTATGCAGTTAGTCTATTTCTTTAATGTTTGTTCTTTCTGATGTAAAGTCAAGGTTGTAACTGTTTGCAATGAAGTTGTGGGGCGCTGAACTGTTCTTTTGATTCTTTTGATATATGATAGTAATTACTGGTCTTTCAAATTTGAAGGAGGGTGAGCAAGCATCTTGAGGAACGTTCATCATTAACTCCTCCAAAAAATATAGTTTATTTAATAATAACACTGAATAGGTGAATCATAACAGTGATTGACAGCTGATAGGAATAATATGATTGTTAATATTATCATATTCATACAGACACACATCGATGAGACAGTTAATTAATGTACTTATTGCAGCAGTCTGCATATTTGGCACCCCTGCTGGTCTAAGAGTTAAACCAACTCATTCAGTTAAAATTCATTAAATTACGTGTGCCACCTTATATATTTATATTTAAGGCTTTACTGATGTGCCACAATAATCTCACCTAATGTTATTGAGTTAAAATATCAATATTGTGGCTTTCCAAGTTAACATTGATGGATATGACTGCGATTAAATCAGCATATACTTCTGCCAGGGGATGCCACCCCTGAAATTCTCCTGCCACCCTCTTGCCACCCCATGAATATTTGTCTAGATCCGCCCCTGAACCACGGTGTTATTTACATTTATATTGAGCATGTGTATGAGTGAGAGTGTGACCTGTTAATCAGCCTGTTTATGAACTGGGTGGTGATGCTGCGAAAGTGATTTCCAGATGGCAGGAGAGAGAGATTAGTGGCTGAGCTGAGTGACTTGTGTCCTTAAAGAGGAACTCCCATGATTTTTGAAGTCTGTTTACAAGTTTAAAGGTGAAACATGATTTATAAAGCTCTGCAACATCTGATAAATAGCCTCATTATGAGTGATCACTTGAGGTAACACTTCTTCAATCTGAAGTTTGAAAATGAAATACATCTTGGCATGTGGAGTGCACACTCCTCTGCTCTTGAGGCTCGGTAATGTAGAGCCAGTTTTTCGACAAGGTAGAATAATATGTCGAATAGAAAATAAGATATTTCAAGTATGTTTCAATGCTTATCAGTGGAAGACTCTTTTAATTATGGTTAGACTTTTTCCAAAGGCAGTTAATGGTATAGATATTATGTGGTATGGGGAATATTTGTATGTCTAACTGTGTTTATGGTTATGTACGCCATCACGGCGGTTACAATACTTTTTTATTAGGATAGCAAGAGGAGAATCCTTCAGTTAATGTGACATGATTCCCTTCTTCATCGCTGAGACTCTGCTCCTTTCTTTATCGGCTCTGCCTGCACGTGCCCACTTATAATTCTATCTCATCCAAATTCTTTAAAATTCCATTTAAAGATAAAATCTATGAATATAATGAAATGCAATGACCCCTGTTTTTTTTGCCTGGGCCTAACCTTTGGGATACAGCTTGTGCACGGAATCCTTTCCATGTTTTAGGTTGATTTCTGTTTATTTCATTGCACACATGCATATGGATTAGCATTTTGTGCTTAATTCCAAATGGTAGTTTAATGTAGTGTGAGTCAGCCAGCTAAGAGGGGAAGGCAGTCTGTGCTAGTAGATAAAGCTAATGTCATTTACTTCAGCTGGGGGCAGTCGGTGACTATCACACTGGAGACTTAAACTTACTGACATGTGTTTCCAAAATGTTTTATTTCATACCCAAAGTTCAACCAGGTCATAAATACCTGTTGTCAAGATTTCATGGGCACACATGCCCCTATTACCAGATATAAAAAGCATCTGAAGAAGTGCAATCCATCCTGTCTGATTAGAACTCACATCCACATTAGCTCCTGGCTAATTAAAGCCTTAAGCTAAACACTTGTGATTTTCACCATTATCTCTATTTAACAGTCGTGGGCTTAGACTCAGAGCAGTCCTCTGAAATGCAGCTGAAGGACTGCTCTAGTTATGCCACCGAAAGTCTTCTAACAGATTACGGATGCAGAAACTAACTAAATAAAGTCAGCACATCCAGAAAGAATGAAGGATTCGTTTGCAGCTCAAACAGCATCCACAAAGTTTAGGTAAGAACATACTGAAACGGCTTCAATTTTTTTTAGACATCGGCATATACGACCATAATCATAATCTTTCAACTGCATTTCAATGACGATATGCCCCTTTAACTGCAGTACCTTATACATGTTTGATAATGTTTGATGTGTCCTACAGAGAAAACTCAAAATCTTTGCTCAGAAAAACCATCACTTTTTTTTCATGCATTTATCAGAATTGCACCTGCCCCTTTGTTGAGATAAGTATTGCAAGTTGCAATTGAAGCTATGTTAGTTCATTCATGTATATGCCCCTGTGTCTAGGCTTTATTAAGCTGACTGCTCTGATCATTTCTGAACATAAAAGGTGTCTGAGGCATTCAAGGGTTTGATGTGATATGTACATTTCAGAGCCTTGTGGTTCAGCATAAAAGGTTGGGCCTTTTCAGCACTCACGCACACACACACACACACACACACACACACACACACACACACACACACACACACACACACACACACACACACACACACACATGCACACACACATTTTGTCTTTGTCATGTTGAGATGTTGTCAGGGACGCTAAAGGTTGTTTTTGTGCACATTTATTTGTGTCTTGCTGGTGCTAGGTGCTGGTGTGTGTTGTTTGTCTGTCATGAGTATGTTTGCTCCCAAGTGGGAAAGCTAGAAAATGGCCTTATGCTGCTTGGGCTCCCTACTGTGTTGAGAGACTGTTCTCCTCCCCTCAGTAAGGAGCAGAAGGCTGGAGGGGATGGATGTATTGTAGAGTGATTGAAGGGAAAGGTATAGAAAAATAAGACTCTGGGATGATGATGTTGTAGGTGGGGTATAAGTCTAAGGGTTTCTAGGCACAACATTTTTATTGCGATTAGAAATTGACATACTGTATGTAACAGGGATGCTTATTTCCATAGGTGGAAATTCTTTCAGGTAGTTGGAGAGCCAGAGTCAACAGGAACTGATGCCAACAATTGGATCTTAACCCCCTATAAATAGATTTAATTGGATAATGGGCTGTGTCCATCTGACCATGTGTGTTTGTGTGTGTGTTTGAGAGTGGGTTTTGCCTCCCGGCTGTGGCAAATAATGAGACATGCACATGAGACCTGTTAGGTTGCTGACAACATTAAGTTAATCATTTATTGCCTGAGAGATAATGTATCCTTTGTGGCATAATCCCACAAGTGCATACACTTCCAAACACACTAAACCAGATTGAACAGGAGGTGTGAGCGAAGCATATTAGCTCTTTAAGTATGTGGCTTTTTACTCCAAGATAATGTGGCAGTTTGCCGTAAAAAGTCTCTTAGGCCTAAGTTAAAGAGGGTGTTAGACCAATATTACAATCTTTGATCCCAAACAAATCAAGCTAAGCGAAATATAAGTTTTATCTGTGTTAAGAGCAAATTCAATCAGTATATTTCTTTTTAATATTTCTCCAAAAATGAATAATGACCTCCAATTCTGTTTCATTCTATGTATTTCACCCTGCACTGCCTTCTCGTCGCCATGGTTTTAATGTTTCCTTCCCAAACTGTATTTTCCCAGCATTTCCGGGAACACCTCCAAAAGCTGTTCGCAAAAGGCATTGGTATGTTAGACATAGCCCTGACTGAGGCCTTCAACCTCCTTGGTGACGTAAGTAATACACTCATGCATTACCACACACACACACACACACACACACACACACACACACACACACACACACACACACACACACACACACACACACACACACACACACACACACACACACACACACACACACACACACACACACACACACACACACACACACACACACACACACTACACTACACTACACTACTACTACTACTACTACTACTACGTACGTACGTACGTACGTACGTACGTACGTACGTACGTACGTACGTACGTACGTACGTACGTACGTACGTACGTACGTAGTACGTACGTACGTACGTACGTACGTACTACTAGTAGTACGTAGTACGTACGTAGTACGTACGTAGTAGTAGTAGTAGTAGTACGTACGTACGTACGTACGTACGTACGTACTACGTACGTACGTACGTACGTA